CACTAAATTAAAATCTGAGTGTCTCACCCGAGGCGAGTTTCGTAAGTAACGACTATTAATACAAACCTAAATTCAAATCCGAGTATCTCACTTGAGATATAAGTTCCAAGTAATGAATATTGACGCAGGTCTACTCTCTATCTGAGTATTTCATGCGAGACAAGTCTCAAGTAACGACTATTAATACAGGCTTTATTGTCGTTAATGATAGAGTACTCGTGTTATTTTCCACGAAAAGCCTCAGGATCTTCATTCATGACATTTATATCGCTCACCAAGATCGCCGCTCGCTTAGGGTAGTGTGTTCAACGTGTTCCTTGATCGATACTACAGCGAGAATGATGACGTGAAGTATATGAGTGCGCGCGCGCGATTAAACGCAACGCGCGGCTCTGATTAATCCCAGAGCGGCCTTTCTATCATAATTATAGATTAAATTCCACGAGCATCGCGTCAACCACCGGCGCGAATACCGGCTCGCGAGCGCATTCGTCGAATCGTCGGATAAAAGCGGATTAAGGAACGGCCGTTCCGCCAACGCGGGATATTTCGTCACGTAGGATGCCTCAGCAAGGATGACATTGACGCGCGGTAAGTGTCCTTTCGGGATTCACATGCGCCCGTCATCCTGTCGACGAATCGCCAGGTGATTCACGACGCGAGTGATACGACTCGCGGTTTAAGCGCGGTTTAAGCGCGGTTACGCGCGAACTTTTATACACGTCAGCCGATGATCGTCCTTCGGATTACTCGCGATCCTGGAAGTTCTCTCGTTCCCCTTGGAGAGAAGGGTCCGCCGCTCGCCAGTCTTTCCGACGAGTATGCAGATTCGAGTCGGAGACCAGTGTCTCGGACTTGCTCTTTTTCTCGGACCCTCTCGAAGTCTCCTTTACATTTGTTGCGCGCACTCTTTCACTTTTTTTTCTTCCAAGTTGTTAGCCAATCGTTTCATTATTGCCGCGACTTACAGATTCTTCTTCGGTATCTCCCACATTTGTCTCTGTTATGTAAACAATAGTCACATATGTATCGTCCGCGCAAAGTGAAGTTACATTTATGTCATGCTTATGTTAAATGAAGTTATAGTTATGTGTTATAATCAGGGCTTTTCTCCGGCGAAACACGTCGGGACGGGAACTTCTTCGAGGAAACAAAGTTCTCAAGGAATTTTGAGAAGTTTGTGAATAATGTTTTTCAAGAGAGAATGTGTAAAGTTTGAAAACTACTTTAAATTCGATGCGAGTCTGTGTAGACTGTATGAAAATAATATTGCCCTAAAGGATCTCGTCTCTTCTTCATCCTCATTTTGTGAGACCTCGGCAGCTCTCTTTCTCGAAGAAAAGCCCTGACTATTATGACTTCACGATCCTCGACTATTATGATCATGAACTTCGTTCGTTTAATTCGTCGAAAGAGTCGAGAGGGAACTTTCACATGACGTCCTTGTTCGGCGCGAATTTTCAACGGATTATCGAGACAGAGGCTAGATCTTGTCGAAGAGGCCAAACACGAAATCCGTGCGATAGCGAGCGTTCGCCTCTGCTGAACAGGTTGATATTCGCATACGTTTATAAAGCGAGGCGCATTCTGTGTAACCTCTGGCAGCAGCCCGGCTATCAAGTAGCGTCGCCAAGCGTAATGACATAACGCGATATCAATGTCGCGTCGACACATACACAACAGGCTCGCCGCGTAAACTTTCGCTCGCCTCTCTCTCGCGTCTGTAAACGAGATCTCGCGCTATTCTTCGGGGAAAAATCGTTCGTCACACTGTTTTCCGGATTCCTCTCACTTCAATTCTGACTTGATTTCAGGCTGAAACTGTGAGCTTTATTGTTTGAACTTCTCCGTTATTCGTCGATTTCGTTTCACAGTATTGCCGAGAATATCTTTGTTATTTTATTTGATTTTCTTTCATTTTATTCCTTTCTTTTCTTTTTTTTTATTTTTATTTTCAAGAGTGTGAAATGAATCCGATGTAACTTCCCCAATGTTTCAGGTTGAAACTGAGGGTTGTATGAGTTTTGTTTCTTCAATTTTCCGTTGTTCATCGACTTTATTCCATAAACAATATCTCGCGCTATTCTTCGGAGAAAAATCACTCGTCACACTGTTCTCCGAATCTCTGTTATTCCAATTCTGACTTGATTTTAGGCTGAAACTATGAGTTTTATTGTTTGAACTTCTCCATTATTCGTCGATTTCATTTCACAGTATTGCCGAGAATATTTTTATTATTTTATTAGATTTATTAGGTTCTTTCATTTTATTTCTTTCTTTTTTTTTATTTTTATTTTCACGATTGTGAAATGAATCCGATGCAACTTCCCCAATGTTGCAGGACTGTGTCTTGAATTCTTACCCTTAGATTCTAATTTAATTTTACAGGATAAAATTGAAAATTGTGTAACTTCCCCATTTTTCTTAATTCGTCGATTTTATTTCGATGTATTGCCGAGAGTAATTTCTAGTTATTTTTACTTTCACCATGATGAATTGTGAGATGAATCCGATGCAATTTCCCGAAAGTTATAGGACTGTGTTTTGAGGCGATCGTGATTGCCGTAGCAAGAGGTCGAAGCGAGCAAACCCATCTCGTGTTCCGGACGTGAATGCGTTCGGACGTTCCGGTAACGGATATCAGAAAAACAAACAGACCGTCGCATTGAGCCCCTGCTTTATATTCTGCGTCTGCTTATTTTTATAAGCAGCACGCGAAGCGTCGGGGGAGATCGGAATTTAAAAATCACAGTGACTCGTCATTGTTTTTTCAACGAGCAGCGAAATATAGCGAAAAACATGTGCCTTTTCCCGTTGCAACTCGACAACGAGAAACGTCGCTGATAATTCTGCGACTATCATACATTTCCGAGCTATTACTGAGGAAGGGAAGCGTTTGGCTCACTTTTATTTTGAACCGCGTTGAATCTATTCGGAAATGGGAGTTGCGACAGCAGAATGCAGAATGAATCACAGACTTCCGACCGATAAGATCCATACGAAGCGATTATTATTAACGTAACGCTTGCTATTATTAGTTTTCGCAACACAGCGCTTCGCGTCGTAGAAGCGTGTTGTTCCTGCGTGATAGAGAGAGAGAGAGAGAGAAAAAGAGAGAGAAAGAGAGAGAAAGAGAGAAAGAGATAGGGAGAGCTTTCAGCCCACGCGGATGGTCGTCGCTCTCAAATAGAAAGAATTCCGCGTCAGACAGCGATCGTTCTAAGATTCTCTTGCGTCAATATCGAGACGCGTGCCAGACCGATTTATGTCCTCTGCCATTGGACGACGAACGACGATAAATGTCACACGTGGTCCGGCGAAATTGCTCGCGCGGAGATTGCTCTTGCACCACGTGTGCTATCAGATCGTCGCGTCCGTGTATTCGCGCGAATATTCCATTCTCCGTTTTACTATCGAAAGACCGTCGGCGTCCACGGTCAATTTTGCACTCTTGCACAATTTTCGCCGACCAGAGCAAGACGTTTCCCAATAAAATCACCCTTACGACATGTCTACGTTCTGGGAAGAGAGAAGGCGACTCGAATTTGCGTTGTAATCTTGAACCGTGGCAATTCGGTCGGTTGTAAAACGATCTTTTTTCATATTTCGGACCTGACGTAAACGACGTCGAGGTTCTTTCGGGACGCTCCACTTCTCGCCTGCTTTATACGCTGTAAATCTTTCCCTCTAACTCTTTTTAAAATTCGCTCAACGCGCAGAGCGGCCTGGTTATATGTGTTCCGACGAATTGTTAATACTAAAAATAACGCGCACGTCATATCACATCGCGGGGGAGTAGCGAGTGGATGCGCCCGGTTGGCCCAAATTCCGAGGTATTATAGGTTGTTTGCATTCGCCTTGCGAGATTGGCAGGTTCGAGAGATTCGTTTTGAGGCGGCCCGTAAACTTTCATGATACGCATCGTGAAAATATATCGCGTGGATCTTCCTAAGATCTCATTCTAGAGACATAGCAAATACCAAGTATGTCTTCTTTATCCCAAATTTAATCCTTATGCGAGCATCACGTACAATAAAACGTCTAGTAGCGGGCACTTGATCTGTTTTCGGCACTCTTGCGCGACTTCTATTAAATATTAAAGTGTATGGAAATCAAGAAATAGAAAAGATAAATAATGAATAAATTATTAAATAATAAATCTTAGATAGACCGCAATATTTGCTAAAATTCGCATAAGTACGTCGAAAATAGATCAGATGTCCGCTACTGAACATTTCTAATTGACTTTAAAATAGCGGGTCCTCAGTTTGTCCTGTAGATATGATTGTTTGTATGTTCCCTCATAACTCGAGAACAGTTAGAGGTATTGAAGTGAAACTCTTCGGTAACACTTCGGTTCAGTATGTTATTTATGGTTTTTAGATTTGATTAGTATGGTTTCTAGATAAATGTTATTGCTCAGATTTATGTAGGTGACCTGGAAATTGGGTTATTGCCATCATTTTCTTGAAAATCCGAGAATGTCAAAAGATACAAGATAAAACTTTTATTTTTAACCAACGTCAAAAACAAATTTTTAATAAATAATTAAAAAGTACGAAGTACTTAAAAAACTTGAAAAACTTGAAAAAACCGCCCTCAAACTTCAGTAGCCTTAGAAAAATATGTATAATAATTTTCACAATCAATATTGTCTTACGAAATCACCCATAAAATGACAAATTAGGCAAGCAAATATAATATATAAATCTAAAGATATAACTAATGAAAAGAATGTATGAATATTAATTCAATCAGGTAGAATTTCGCGCTGAGTTCTAAAATCGTTAGAATATTAGAATGGGATTGTAGGTACATAGAAATGTTGATCTAAAAATATTTCACATTTTTTAGGATTTTTGAAACTTTTGAAAGCGATTTATTCTTTTAACCTTATAACTTTATTCCAATTTTAGAATTAGAAAGACATGTTTAGCGCTCGCTGTGTGTTCAGAATGCGGCTTCTGTGTTTATTCTCGCGGCAGTTTCTCTTCTTCGCACTAACATCGGCGTGCTGACTCTCATTTGCTCTTCATCACCTGTCCTTGTCTTTCTAATTGAATATCAAATAGTCTTGTTATTATTTCACGTTCTCCTTTACTGTTGTTACCAGTGATGAACGTGGTCTCCTGGCGTTCAGTCTAAACCATTTTAGGCAACGCAATCTACGAAAGTGTTCCAATCACGTGTCCGACACGCGCCTCATCCCGCGGCCGTTTATCAATGCCTCTCTAACGTCGTAAACTGATTTATTGGACGCTATTAATCGCCATGTGTTCGCTCAACAGCCATGCCACGGTGCCGGTGATGATAACGGTGCGGTAAGCGACGCGATAAGCGCGTTCGATCGAATATCCAGCGACCGAGCGCGTCGGTTTCGCAGAAATCCCGGTGCAATCTCCGTGCTATTGACTGCGGCGACGATCGATGATTGGCAATTGAGGATCTTGTGGGTAAGCTTCGAAAGTAATTAACTTCTACGACATCGCGACATTCATTAGCGCGCATAATCGCTCGCGCCGCGGCTTCTCGCGAGCAACACAATCCGGGCGGATGCGATCGTTCAATTATCGTCGCGGGATACTCGTTAACGCCTTATGCGTGTCAGCTGATGATTATCGGCAAATTGCAAACATGCCTGGCGGCGCAGTCCGTCGCGGCACATATCGCGATACCGATCTTGCCAAGTGAATTACATGCGAGCGGCGTCTTGTCAAGGGTTACGTCGTCGCGGCCTGACGCATACGCGCGCGCTCGCGATTATGAAACCGACGTGTGCGCCGCGCGCATTCCGTTTTGACATAATTCGATTTCTGCGCGCACATCGGCCGGTCCTTTCCGCGCTACCGCGACGAGCGTGCCTGCATAAGACTTACGCCCACGGAACGACATAACTGTTGGCTTACACACGCTCGAAAAAAGATGGTCTTACGGTCATAACGAAAATGATCTAAATACGAGAAACTAGTCGAGATGAACAAATGATTAGACAGAGATAAACACCGTGCTATCGCGTTTTGTACTTAATCGATATAGATGACAGAGAGATAAGATTTATACTTGAAGTATTTGTAAAAATTAGCACAAAAGAGGTCTCTCTAGGGACTCTAGGGCCGGTATTCATAGTCCGATCTTATATTTAAAATTATCTTAAGTACTGTTTTAAGATGTCATGAACCAATCACAGAGCCGTATTCGCATCTTAAGACGGTCTTGAAATAAGATTCAACTATGAATACCGGCCTAGGAGTCCCTCTAGGAGCACTCATCTAGGCCAGTTACATTTCTTACAAAAGTGGTAGACAAGAAAGACTAACGATCAGAAACAAACGGATGTATAATCCTCACGCTCGCCTAAATTTTCTTACAGATATTACGAGAATGTTGCTGTCATAAATTCTATACGGGCTACAGACAATCTTCTAGCAGATACAGAACAGAAAAAATAGCGATAAATTTTAAACGTAACGTTTAGAATTTTATCTGGACCAACAAAATATTTTTTTAACCAGCAAAAATTTTTTTGCACCGAACAATATAGTCTTATCCTCAGCGGAATTTTCTCGTACATCTATCGTGCGCGATTATTTTCCAATTTTCTTTAGTTAATAACTCAAAATTTTACATGATTGCTTGTAAATTTTGTGTGTGTTCACTTTGATCTGATCTGATACACAGAAAAAATATTATCCTAAGAAAAGCGATCACTCGGTTTATTTTCCTTCTTTTAAATAATGATAAATATCTTCAACAAAGAATATATTTTCTTGATATAATGATCTTTCAAAAAATATATATATTAATCACAAATTTGAGAAAAATTCACTATTATGTACTCAGAAAAAGAATCTATTCCTTTTGTAAGAATATTGTGTAACTTTATCGAAGAAAATGTTAGTTTTTCTCTATGTGCTAAGTAAATCAAATTTTTGTTTTAATCTAATATTCTTGATTGAAATGTTAAACTTATTGGGACACAGAATGTATTTTAAATAAATTAGATGCTTATATATATATATATATGACAGACATATGATAAATTTGCGCGGATATAACTTATGAGATACTTGAAAGTGACATTTACTTGAATGCAGTACGTAAGTTCTGCGTGTGTGTGCATGTACATGAACATTCTCCCACCTATCACCAGACGCCTTGTACAAGAGTATTCCACTGAGAGGATGAGATTCTATTTTTTAGTCCACAAGAAATTGTCAACTTACGAGACGAAATAATTCTCCGTCTCGGCTCTTCCACTTACTTTCGCATGAGGTCAAGGTACTTCCTTCTTTCACCGCAAGTTACACCACACCTCGCGCACAACAGATCTCCGAGTGACTTCGACGGGGTCTTCGCGTAACGCACCAGAGATCTCTCATTGTCGGATCGCGATTAATCCGGGCGTCGCGCCCGACGAGCGAAATCGTCTGTCAGGTTTACCACGAGGTGTTCTCGATAAGACGCGCGATAGTGTTAATAGAGTTTCGCTGCTTGGAGTCGGGCCGACCCACATCTCGCACGTTGATAACGACCTTTTCATTAACGCGCGGCGACTTATTCCCGTGTCGCCATCGATCAAAAGGTGTTTACCTTCTGTCGCGACGCGACCGTCGAGCATCGTTAATAACACACTCGCTCGAATTAGAAGTCAAAGTCGTCGCGTGAGACTGTTTGGTCGCTGTTTTGTTTTGATGACACAAGTGGACAGGGTTGCCAGGTCTGGTGTAATTCCGTCAAAGTGACTCTTTGACACGCTGAGTTGACGCGCGAAATCTTGATTTTGACGCTTGGCATATAATCTCGACGTAATGAGAAGAAAATTTGGCGCGAAGCGGCGCTGAGTGGGGATTGGTTTGGGGCTGGTACTCACGATGTTAGAATTCGATTCAACTTGGGGGAATATAAATGCTATTGGAATTTACTTACAAAATTACTAACATTGTGTTTTTCTATGATTTACCGATCAATTCAGACCGAATTTCATGAGCTTTACATTAAAATCAATATTCAATTTTACCAAAGTGTCAATAAAAGCATGATCATATATCACGAATTCAGACTTATTGATTACAACTGTAACTTTTGGTTGTCTTGTAGTATAACACAATTGGAAAATGATCACAATATATAAAATGATTTTTAGTTTTGTTGTCCTAAAGTTATATTATAAAATGTCTAAATGTTTCTGTAAATATTACATGTCTTTGATAGTAAAACATGTACAAACACAATTAAATGTTTTTTTAATTTTCTAAAATTGCTGCTTTCAAATTTCAAAATTGTTTCTCAAGTTTGGTGTTGTGTATTTGGCATTATGTTTTTAATATTGGCGGAAAGTGGTGTCTTAGATTTTCTGAATTAGCGTTTCTAGAATTTGACAACCCTGATCGTAAAGTCGCGCCTCGTGAATTTCGTCGCCGTTGCGAATCTGCCCGCGGCAGTCGGCGTCACCGGAAAACGCGGCTTGCAATTTGCGCTTTCGCGAAATTCGCGGAGAAGAGAAGTTTCGTTGTCCCTTTCCTTACTATAAAAGTCACGGTTTACACTTTGCGTTAAAAGTGAGATCCGTAAGTAACATAACGAGCGTCGCGCTGGAAAAAGTGGAATGCGACGCGAATGACGGCTCATACGAGAGGAATTCGAAAAATCGTCGCGTTACTATCACACGAGCCAGAGATAAGTGCGTTCGCGTTGCACGCGGGGGGAAGTGCACCAGGGAGCTTTTTAAATATGCTCGTGATACGCTCCACTTCACCAAGGTGGCATTCCGCCGAGCATCGGAGATAAGAGACGACGCGAGAGATCGAGGAAGTTTTCGATTCGCAACGTGACGGTTCGGTGTGCCGTTTTTCCGCCAATTTGACGGAGACGAACTCGTCGTTTCGGAAGCACGTCTGCACGGAGAAACGCGCGAGTAGTTGACGCTTTTTTTCACGACTAGGTCACTGCGTCGCAATCTTGTGCCTCGTGGTGGCTCACCGCATGCCTGTTTACAACTTATCTATCGCTCGCACACATAAACACATACGTACACATACGCTGTACGCACGAAGGAGCCGGCGAAATATTACCATGTCGATGAAAGTCAAGAAATTACCATACCGCGTAATCGGCGCGGTGCGACAAGGTTGCGGCGTTACTGGCGCGAAGAAGTATTCGGGCGTTCGCGCGAGATATTTCTCGATCGGACCTTCTCGAGTCCGTCGCGAGAGGCCGCGCTTTTTTTCGCGGGCCGGTCGCATCTGTTTTTCGCGTACTTATCTCGCGCGCGAGTACGCTCTCGCTTCGCTTTAATCGCCGCGCGATATCCGCTGCATAGAATTACACGCGCGTTGCGGGATCTGTTCTCGCATTGCCGGCAAGAGTGCCGACCTGACGCTTCCTTCCCGCGAGGGATGACAAAAGCGCGAGGCTGATACAAAAACGAAGAGCCGTCGCGGAAAGAAGAGTTCGCGGAACACCGCGGAGAGAATCCGCGTTCGCGGTCTATTCATTACCGTCGCCGTTCGTGACCATGAAAGATCGTCGCCTTGCGAATCCGTACGTTGACACAGTTTGCGAATAGTAGTCGGATAAAGGCGGTGCTTGTGTATAAGCGGCAATTAGCTGCGTGCAGGTCATGACATCGATATCGGTATCAAAGTTGCTCGGCTTGCCAAAGTTCGTCGGCGGATAAATTTCGCTGTACACACATGTGCGTGTCTCGCACATTTTTCTCGTCGTTGACTTCATCGTTAAGATCGAACGATACCCAGTTGAGCTGTAGCGCGCTCTGTCGAAGTCTCTCGATTAAAATGATTCAGCTCAAATCGCTAAATTAAAATCGATTGTTCGATTGTCTATGGTTGCATCGACGAGAGAATCAGCACGTTCGCTACCAGCGTCATATGTGTGCGAGAGAGTAAACATTTCTTTCATGCACTGAGAGAAAAATTATTTAAAAGACAAGAAAAAAGTTTCGGGGGGAGGGGCTGTACTTTTTATTTTTTACGAGCAAAAAAAAAGATCATTGGAAAAAATTTTTCTCACACTTAGAATAATCCAAAAAATTAATTTCTGGAGGGACTGCAGCCCCTTCAGTCCCCCTCCTGGCTTCGCCATTGAGACAAGCAGTATTTATTCGACTAATAACATATTTACTTATACATGTGTTTCTGCACTAAGAAAAGATTTTTTCCAAATAAGAAAATATATTGTTTCTTGAACAATCTTAAAAAATACTTGACAATGTATTCGTGCGAGATATATGAAATTCGTTTTCACACAAAAATGAATTTTATTTTATAAGAATAAACTTTATTTCGCAGAAATAAACTTTATATTCCATAAATAAATTTTCAGGTGTCTTTTTTCTCAGTAGCTTTTCATGAAAATTATTGTTTATTCTATTCTATTTTATTCAGCTAAGAAAACTTAGACTTTAACAAATTAAATTATTAATATTCACTGAATGAATACTCTTCAGCTCTTTGAAGTTTTTTTCTCTCAGTATATGTTTTTCATATTGTCGAATTGAGTCTGTCTTACACGTTTACATAAAAAGAAAAAAATTACAAGATGGCCTGTGCGAGGATTCTTTAAATAAATCTTAGTAACGAAAAATTCACAAAATGTATCCTCGTGCGAGTCCAAATGTTTCATTTACGTCTGTCTTGTTTCCAATATCTTAAAATGACATGGCGATATGCATGCATATCGCATGCGAAAATATAATGGCGATAACGAGCGGAAGACTTTTTACAAATCGAGTGGCGGGACGAGACGTTTTGCCGTATAACGATCGTTCTGTAATAGATACATTCAGAATGGTGTGCATTTTATTGCAAAATGATATGAGAACTGTCGTCTGATTTTGCGGAACTTTCGCGAGCGAAACCACGGAGAAGAAGTGAAGTATTATTCGCGTTTTTCTGCATTCCTTTTGTAATTTATCCACGGACGGAATTGGCGCCTGATAGCAATTCGATAAGATACTCAAACAACGTCGACTCGTTCCTCACCAGCCGCGAGGTAGATAAACTGACGTTCGTCAATGAAAGCGAGCGAGATAGTGAGAATGCAATTAAAAGTATCGACTCGTTAATCACTCAGACTCTCCCAGCGTATTCAAAGATACGTTCCTCCATTCGGCAAAAATTTCACCAATTCGTCATTAGATAAATCAGCAGCGCGTAACACAACGGATTGTATTGTAAACTTGTTGAAATTTGCACCTTGAAATTTCACATGTGTCTAATTGAATGCTAAGAAAAAGATGATTGTTGTTACTTGTGAAAATTGTTGTTTCATTGACAAACTGTAAAACTTGAATGGGAATCTGTCACTGTTCTTAACTCTCGGCGTCGTCTCAGAGGATTGAAAGCATAACTTGCAAAAAGAAGCGGCTGTCAGTTACTTGCGCAGCTGCGAAAAATTCGAGCGACCTGTTACGTCCCGCGATCGCGCTCGCTCTTGACAAATCCGCGAGAATCGATCGTTTTACGGCGCACTGTTCAAAAAGAAGAACAACAAAAAGAAGAAAAAAGAGAACAATTGCACAGCACTTACTCGAAAATGGCGAGACTCAGTCGGGTCCAAATCGAGGACTATCTTCTTCGACGAGCGTCGGTTCGCATGTGCCGGAAACGATCGCGTCGTGCGAGCAAGGTAGGAGAAGGAAAAATCCCGAGGAAATCCGCGAAAAAGGGCCAACGATGAGAGGCCGTGGGAGAACGCACGAGAGGGTTACAAGGTGGATAGGGAAAGGGAGAGAGAGAGAGGACAGATAGAGAGAGAGAAGAGAGGGAGATAGAGAGGAAGAGAGAGAGAAAAAGAGAACACACGGTGCTGGCGGCTCGAAAGCGCGAGCCTAACTGACCCGAGCGGAGACGAGAGGTAAACGCAAGCTAAACTAAGTCGCGGTATCACAATTCGGTTCGAACGAACCGCCACGGCGAGAGCGACGGCGGCAACGCGACCGAATGCCGTGCGAGACGGTCGCTTGGTCCACCCACCGTGTCTTCTTGCCGCCGCCGCATCTTCCGTCGTTCTCCTGCGTCATCGCCGGGATGACGAAGGCGCGCGCGATGACGGGCGCAGAAGAAGGCGGGAAGGTGAACTCGGAACGCGTTCTCCGACGAAGTCGCCAATCGCGAGGTGGTGATCGCGCGTTCCTCCTTCCTTTTGTTGGGATGGATGGATGGATGGATGGATCGATCGATCGGATCGCGACGGTCGCGCTGAGGTATTCACCAGTGAACGCAATGACGGAAAAAGAAGAGGAGAAACCATTGAGGGGGTGTCTTATCGAGTACTTTCGTAGTCTTCACCAATTGAATACCAACATTTTTCTGCAAAGTTTTTGCGTTGTATTGGCTGCACAGAATTACAAATTCTATAAATTATGTAGAATATTGCAAATTGTATCAAAATGTATGGAAAGTAATATATTAAATATCTGCTTTGTAATCATTAATTTACAAATATAATGTTTAAAAAGATGAATTAAATGAAATTCCCATTTCATTGTACGACAGATTGGTAGATTGAACTCTGAAGGTAAAAGAATATAACCAAAGAATTCTGTAAACTTGAACTTTGTTTAACAGTCAATTTTTTCAAGATTTTTTAAATTCTTCTTAATTGATCTTTGAGGAAGTCATTATTTAATCGACAATCCTAGATTACTCATTGTTTATACAGATGACATCTCATGTATACTTGTCGCTGTTTGCACAATACTGTTTGTAGACGCAGAGTGTCGTCATTTGCGCGTAAACATCCAACTCTGAAATTACCAAGAAGTAACAATTATCGATAATGAATCATTCATCTCGGCTTCGTTTCAAAACTGGACTTTCACAGTGAGCGGTATTCCTCTCGTATTTCATGCCGAGCAGTTTTCGAGTAATCGTCACGACTACAGAGCAGTTCGACGAAATGTATCACTGTGGGAAATTTGTTAACTGCGAACTGTCACATTCATTCGTTTAGCACACGCGCCGCGTGAGTGGCTCCGCTACTCGCGCTAAGCTAAAACATTTTCCGAAAGCCCGCGGCGAATAGACAGTTCACGCTCTCTCGACGCGTGAACCAACGTGAGAGACTATCTAAACCTATTTCTAGAGCTAACAGGCAGGGTTGCCTGAGTGCCATCACAAGCACATTTCTATATAAAGATGTCGATACAGCATGCCTTCGCCTTGGACGTTAGTCCCGATACAAGGATGGGAAGGAGTGGCAATTAACGAAACAATTAAAGAGCACTCGCGATTATACTCACTCGATCGCAGTGAAACTCGGTCCCGAACGAGAGCACACAACGACGAGTATCGGCCGCACTCCTCTCGGATCAATTTGTGGCGGAAAAAGTGCGCGGGAGCTGCTGGCGGGTCCGGAGCGCTAGTCGAACTGAAGCGGCCACACGACGAGGTAGTAAATGCCCGCGAAATCCTATTTCGCGCATATATAGGGCTCCGGCCTAGACTGCGTCCTGTCGGCCGGATCTTTTCGCGAGCACTTCCGCCGCGAATTCGTCATTGTCGAGCCAGGCGAGAGAGAGAGAGAGAGAGAGAG